GATTCATTTTCAGCTTTCTACCTGGGTACTTCCACATGGAGATGCTGATTTTGTATGCAAAGCAATAACATGTAACAATGAGTCCTAAATTACGTCATCATGTCAGGTACACCACCAATCAACTGTGGTAAATCATCTTTTGTATTTGAATATATTTTAAAATGTAATTTATTGCTGTGATGCAAAGCTGAATTTTCAGCATCATTACTCCAGTCGTCAGTGTCACACGATCCTTCAGATGTCATTATGCTGATCTGCTGCTTAAGAAACATTTATGATTATTATCAATGTTGAAAACAGTTGTGCTGCTTAATATTTTTATGGAAACTTGATTAAGTCTTGATGAATAGAAAGTTCAAAAGAACAGCATTTATTTGAAAAAAAATTTTTTTGTAACATTATAAACATATTTACTGTCACTTTTGACCAATTTAATGTGTCCTTGATGACTGAAAGTATTAATTTCTTTTTTTTTTAATCAATAATAAATAAATAAATAAATAATAATCTTGCTGATCCCAAACTTTTGAACAACAGTGTATATAAAATAAACACAAAATGTAAAAATATTTATCCATCTGTGTCTAAGGTCTATAAACCATCACATTTAAAAAAAAATTTAAAAAGTTTTTAAAGCCAAAATTCAATGTTTTTTAAACAAACTTTGAACTGGAATTCTGCATAAGGTTTGCCACCTTAATTCAAATTAATGGAGACTAACATATTGATACTAACACCCAAAAAACTTTAATTTTGATTTCATGGGGACTTTAAGGAATTAAGAAGTTTAAGTTCAGTTTCAGGGAAAAAAGGTATAAAGGTTGTCACTGGGGTGTTACCTTTTCAAAAGGTACTAATATGTACCATTTAGGGGTAAATAAGGTGTACCTTTTCAAATGACACCATCCCAATGACAGCTTTTGTACCTTTTTTCCTGAGAGTGTATAGCACAGATGTCTGCCCTTGTAAAATAATTGTACTGTACTGTTTATTTTCCCTATTTATTTTCTGTCACTGTTGATTTCTATTGCAGTAGCTGTTTCAGGCATTACTTTCATAATCATGCACAAATGGCATCATCAAAACTGGGTTTGACACTTTATAATCAGCCCACCTAACAATACCCTGTGTGTCCATGTTTGGACCCTCCTTTGGTGGGTAACTGAGCTGGCATGCTGCAGTAAGAGCTGTTTGGTTTGGCCTGTTCAAGTTGCTCATTGGCAGCGGAAATGAAAGAAATAGTAATTAGTGAAATGGTAGGATTTTATTGGCTGTGTTTTCTATACCAGATGTCAGGCAGCTGAACACACCAGGGCTGGTCTGAGCCGTGAATCCAAATGAAGGCCGCATCTATTAATCAAACAACACAATAGTTGTATGTAGTTTGCAAATGGAATCCAGCTGAATGACGAAAACCTGTTCGGCTTGCTATTCTCTGAATACTGTCAATATACAGCAGCCCGCACACAATCTTTTTGAATACAGTAAGTGAAACAGCAGGCATTCTTGCACTGTTAATGTTGCAATAAATTAATAAATGCATAATTAAGAGTGGTAACATGTCTATCATAATATAAAATATTATCACTATATGTTAAATTATATATATATATAAGAATATATTGTTATCTATTTGTATATGGTACGTATTATAGACAACTTTAGTTCTTAATTCTCATCAAATTTTATATTTAATATTCATATAAATTTCAGGAAAATAATTGCTATGTATTTTTCTTTACTAAATTAAATTCTTGTGGCAAATATAAAATATCATAAAATGCACTGACTTGCTGTTAGGTCTTGTGTGTTCCATCTGGATTGCAGAACAAGCACATCAGTTCATTAGTGTGGCTTCTGATCTAGAGGTTGCTTTAATCTGAAACTGTAAACTCTGGTTAATTACATCCCCTTAAAGAGAACTTAATTCTACATAATCAGACCAGAGGAGCAGCGGAGTTCATGTTAATGACACATAGCAGATGAGTCCAGAGCCATTGTGTTTGAACCACTGCAACTTCTTTCACCCTGTTAGCCATCAGGTTAAGTAATATGTGTTCAACAGAATGAATATATTAATATATAAATAATATGTATGATGGGTATTATTATTTTTTATAAAAAATATATAAAATACAAACATTTTCATGACAACATTAAAGAATATCTACAGAACATTTCACATGTAACAAACAAGAGGAAAACCAAAGGCCTGCGCACACACAAAAGGGCAAACATAAGCAAAAAATAACACATAACAATAAAAGAATAAATAAAATAAATGAAAATTAAATAAATAAAATTATGATTTAAAAAAATGATAATAAATGTAAAAAATATTTATAATTAAACAGAAACATTGATAAGCAGATTAAAGCAAACTAAACCTCCACTGTAAAAATAATTCTGTAAAATATATGGTGAAAAACCGGCAGCTGTGGTTGCCGGAATTTTACCGTTTTACGGTAGCAACGTTTTAGGTTTTACGGTTTTAACTTAAATTTACAGTTCAATTTCGTAATTTCATTAACTAATATAATGTTAATATACCAACCTATTGAAGTACTGAAATCTGTTTTGTATCTTTGTAATACACTGATGACCACCAAAAGCAGGTGGTGATGAGAAAGTCACATGATGAACCAAAGTCCATCACAAGCAGCTTTTAAATAATAACATATATAGAAGGTGCACAGTGTCATTCACACAAACACTAAACACCATCATGGTGACACACATGAAACTGAAATAATGCAATACACATTCATTTAACAACATTAGGTGTAACACACAACCCTAATGTACAAAACTGATAAGAAAAAAAGAAGAAACAGTTATTTCAACAACAAAAAAACATCAAATTTGAAATGTAACGCAGGGAATTCTGGGAATGTCAATTTACGGTTATCCACTTTTTCACTTCCAAAAATGGTATACTGCCGTAAAATTAATGTCCAATATATGTAATGTCCAATACCGTTTTTCACCGTTATGAACCAAAGTCCATCACAAGCAGCTTTTAAATAATAACATATATAGAAGGTGCACAGCGCCATTCACACAAACACTAAACACCATCATGGTGACACACATGAAACTGAAATAATGCAATACACATTCATTTAACAACATTAGGTGTAACACACAACCCTAATGTACAAAACTGATAAGAAAAAAAGAAGAAACATAGTTATTTCAACAACAAAAAAACATCAAATTTGAAATGTAACGCAGGGAATTCTGGGAATGTCAATTTACGGTTATTCACTGTAAATTATACGGTCTTTTTCACTTCCAAAAATGGTATACTGCCGTAAAATTAATGTCCAATATATGTAATGTCCAATACCGTTTTTCACCGTTAACCATTTAACAGGTTTTTAACTGTAGCATTTTTACAGTCTTTTACCGTTAAACTCACGGTCATTTTTTACAGTGTCATTAATAGAATAAATAAATCAATAAAAAAATATCTTACTGTTTCAAAGATCTGTCCTCATTTGTAAGTCGTTTTGGATAAAACACTTCTGCTAAATGATTCAATGTAAATCTGTCACATTTTATTATTACCAGTTGTTATTCTTTGCTGTTTTACTAATGTGGCCATGATTCATAAATTCCCCCCAACTTTCTTACTTTTCCAGAAATATTTATTGGTCTTCTTCAAATCCTTAAAACTCATGTGTCATTTAAAAAAAAGCCCTTAAACTATGTAATCTTTTAAATGCATTTTTGATGACTGAGCCCCTTGTATTTTTTTTCTGTACTCATTTATTTTTCTTTCTTAATATTCTAATTATGTTTATTTAGTGTATATATTTTTCTTTGTTATGCTGCTATTTGGACTTCTTGGAATTGTATTAAGATTTTTCTTACTGTTGTTTACCTGGTATTTTGTATGTTCTTTTTAGCCAGGAAACTCCTAAGAAAGCGGAACTACATAGTAGGTCATTAAAGTGAAAAAAAAGTGACCTGACATGTGGCCAAGTATGGTGACCCATACTCGGAATTAGTGCTCTGCATTTATCCCATCCAAAGTGCACACACACACACACACTGTGAACACACACACACCGTGAACACACACCCGGAGCAGTGGGCAGCCATTTATGCTGCGGCACCCGGGGGTTCGGTGCCTTGCTCAAGGGCACCTCAGTCGTGGTATTGAAGGTGGGAGAGAGCGCTGTAAGCAATTTTATTGGCATTACAGTGGCTGGAAGGAAATAAACAGAACCTAAATGTAATCATAGCTTCTGACAGCTTATCTGCTCTATCTAGTATTCAATCTGGGAAAACATCATGTAGACAAGATATCATACACCAGATATTCAACTTACTTTTAATACTGTATGATAAAGGGCTGGATGTTTCCTTCCTTTGGGTTCCTGCTCATGTAGGGGTGGAAGGAAAGGAGATTGTAGATATTCTGGCAAGAGGAGCAATAAAGCATGAAACAGTTGATATACAAAAACCATTATTAAGGGACATACAAACAAAATATGGCAAGAATACTGGGACATAACTGATACTGGACGACATCTGTATAACATACAAAAACAAGTAGGCTTAAATAGTATTAGGCGGAGCAGGAACCCGAAGGAAGGAAAGATAATTACACGTCTTAGAATAGGTCATGCTGGTTTGAACTTTACATTACAGAGAATAGGAGAACACCGCACTGGTCTTTGCAACCACTGCAACACACAAGAGACAGTAAAACATGTTTTATTAGATTGTAAAAGGTATGAAGAGGAAAGAAGGGAGTTAGAAACACAAGTTGGAAAGCAAAACATGACAGTGGGGAAATCTGCTAGGAGAAACAATGTCTAGGGAAATACATAGTCTCCTAATGAATTATTTGAAAAATACTGGGATAAGTGAAATAATTTGATGGAGATATATAGGGGGGAAGGAGAAGGTATGTACGTGTGTATATGTATAAAAAAAAAAAAAATTCTCTCTCTTCCCTCTCCACTCCTTTGATATCAGTCTAATGCCCACACTCCAGTCTAGTAGGTGGCGGTAATGCACCTTTGAGATGAGTTGCCAACCACCATTAAACCTGAAAGAAGAAGAAGAAGAAGAAGAAGAAGCAGTCGGGCTGAAATGCGTGACGTACTTCCTCTTTGAAAGAAGCAATGGCGTCTAGCGCAGAGGTAAACAAAAACACAATTTCTTCATTCTTTAAGAGTTAACCTAACAGGTGTCTTTATTGTTTATATATTATACATTATTTTTGATCAGTAAGCATTAACTGTTACTCGTGAAATGGTCGTTTTAGTGTGTCGGGTTTCAGAGCGCTGTTCTTCTAGTCGAAGCTAAAGGTGCTAACATCAGTCTCTGTGCGATTAATGCTGTTGGTTTGGTTTGCTGAATTCTGATTATGATTTAGCTGTCACTGAAATGACATTATTAAGCCTTGTTTGCGGTACATTCGCTGTGCAGGTTGTTGCTCCCAGCAATGCAGAGGAAGCCACAGAGACTCCAGCAGCTCAGAAGAGAGAAGACAGACTCAGGAAGTTCAGAGAGCTTCATTTCAAGAGGGTAACTACCGCACATTTGACTTCATATCAGTGGAATCCATAAGCCCAGACTGTTTATTAAAACTAATACCCAGTTTATTAATGCCCTGGTTTTAACATCTGTCTCGAGTGATCCGATCATATCACTAGGGCCTAAATGTCCGCATTTTGGCTTTGTTTTCATATTGACCTGCTCTCTATAGTCCTCATCAGGAGCGATTCTAGGATTTAAATTTTAGAGGGGCTCAGCCCCCAATGAGGGTATAGTATGTATGTATATATATATAATAAAAAAATGTTTGACTAATAGGGGTGGTATAAATTTATATACCAAAAAGTGCAGTATTCCACTGTATTGCATAGATAGGTATAACATATAACTGAATAAGCCAAATACAAGTCTTCATGATCGATCACACACACACACACACGATTTTACTGTTTGCATTTCTAGTACAACCCTCTTTCATTAGCTCAAGTATGCAAACCTCTTTGCCACATGCACTGGAAATTGTATTACATTGAAAGTTAAATTTTCAAATGAAAATGGCAACATGATTGTTTTATAAATTATGCCTTCATATGTGCTTCATTTTCACTGGAGGAAACAGCTGTGGTGTGGTGAGGGGTGAACGCAGCGAAAACTTAGGCTACAGTAGATTTTCATTTTAGGGGGCATCAGCCCCCAATGAGGGTATAATATAAATATATAGGGGTGGTATAAATTTATATACCAAAAAGTGCAGTATTCCACTGTATTGCATAGATAGGTATAACATATAACTGAATAAGCCAAATACAAGTCTTCATGATCGATCACACACACACACACACACGATTTTACTGTTTGCATTTCTAGTACAACCCTCTTTCATTAGCTCAAGTATGCAAACCTCTTTGCCACATGCACTGGAAATTGTATTACATTGAAAGTTAAATTTTCAAATGAAAATGGCAACATGATTGTTTTATAAATTATGCCTTCATATGTGCTTCATTTTCACTGGAGGAAACAGCTGTGGTGTGGTGAGGGGTGAACGCAGCGAAAACTTAGGCTACAGTAGATGGGGAACCGATTGATATTTTGCAAACTGTATTTATGACAAAGAACAGAACTGCACAGATGCAGATATTATAACAATCTATCGTTAAACACACATCCGCGGTCTGCGGATTGAAAAAGAACGCGATGAAAGAGTCGATCGAAGTCTGTCGCTGTTTTCATATGAAATTTAAAGGGGTCTGAGGCGATCACCCCTTAAAAATGGCCTAGCAACGCCCATGGTCCTCATGCATTAAACTGCCGGTCAAAAGTTTGGGATCAGTAAGATTTTTAATGTTTTTTTAAAGAAGTCTCTTCTGCTCATCATGGCTGCATTTATTTGATCAGAAATACAGAAAAAAATAGTAATACTGTGAAATATTATTGCAATTTAAAATACTGGTTTTCTTTTTTTAATATATACGTTAAAATGTAATTTATTCCTGTGATGCAAAGCTGAATTTTCAGCATCATTGCTCCAGTCTTCAGTG